TGGGCATGCTGGGGGGCGTCTGGGGCCTGTGCGGGTGTCCTCGCTGGGGCTTCCCGGCACGGAGGGGGCGGGGGCCAGGGACGTCCCGAGAACGATCTGCCCCGACGTCCACAGGACCGGGCCCTGCCTGAGCGGAGGTTCTGGCGGGACCCCGCGGCTGGTGCAGGCGCCTTGGCCGGTGGGGACGCCCTCACTCGCCGCCCGTGCTGCCCCTCCTCAGCAATTCATGGAGATCGAGCCCGAGATGCTGGCCATGGAGACCGCCGTGCCCGTGTACTTCGCCGTGGAGGATGACGCACTGCTGTCCGTCTACCGGCAGACCCAGGCCGCCTCCGCCTCCCAGGGCTCCGCCTCCGCCGCTGAGGGTGGGTGAGGGTGGGTGTGGGTGGGTGGGTCAGCGGGTCCAGTCGCTGTTCGGTGGGCGCGGGGGCATTCCTTGCCCGAGCGGCAACCTGGCCTGTGTCACGCAACCCCCAGCCTGCCCCTCCTGCGTGGGCGGTTCGGGACCCCTTTCGTTGTCAGCCACTCGCGGCTGTCGGAGACGCAGTATCTGCTCAGGCCTCTGCTGCCGAGCTGGTTCTCAGTGTCCGTGTCTTTGAGTGCGTGGGTGGGTTAGCGCCTCCCCCAGGGTGTGGGGACACGCGTGTCCTCCGCCAGCAAGCAGGAACTGCAGGGCTCGGCAGGGGCTGGGGCTGGGGCTTGACCTGTTGAGGGGACGGGCCACACAGGCCAAAGGAGGACAGGCCGGGGTGACCCACTAGGACCGCAGCCAGGAAGAGGCGGCCGGCACCCAGTGCCATGAGGAGCCAGCAGGCAGGCTGGCCAGCTCCCTGGGGCGGTGACGCTCTGTGCTTGGCAGGCAGAAGCGCCTTCACGGCCTTGTTTTAAGGACCGCAGCCTGGCACCTGTTTGTAGACGAGGTCTTCTTGGCAGGGCCTCCGTCCACGTGCGCTGTGGCCGTGGCAGCTTCCCTGCCACTGTGGCAGGGCTGTCTCTGCCGCTGCGACAAAGACCATGAGACCCCCAGAGCCAAACGAATGAGCTGTCCTGCCCTCATGGGAGATGCATCGGGTCCTGGTCCCACATAAAGGCCCGACAGCCGCCTTGTTCGTGACGGCGGAAGAGTGAAGGGCTGTAAGCACCTGCGTGTCCAGTTGGAGAAGGAGAGGGACTCTTCTACTTGGTGGCATATTATGCAGCTGTTCAAGGGCCATACGGGGCCGGGTGCAGTGGCAGCGCCTATCCTCCCAGCCCTACTCTGGGAGGCTGAGGCGAGAGGATTGCCTGAGCCCAGAAGTCTGAGGCTGCATCTTTACAATGAGTCAAAAACTCAGCCAGGCATGGTGGCACCTTTAGTGCCAGTTACTGGGGTGGCTGAGGCAGGAAGATCACCTGAGCCCAGCGGGG